GGGTCCCCCCTTTTTTTTTTTTTTTTTTTTTAACCATCCTCACAACAATCTTCAGGCAAAGCTACATTTTTCTCCCGTTTTGTAGACGGGGCTGTTGATGGTCGGAGAAACGAATGTGCACAAAGGTACACGGGGAGGAAGCAGAGAGGCGGGGGGGGGGGGGGGGGGGAGGGGGGGGGGGGGGGGGAGGGGGGGGGGGGGGGGGAGGGGGGGGGGGGGGGGGAGGGGGGGGGGGGGGGGGAGGGGGGGGGGGGGGGGGAGGGGGGGGGGGGGGGGGAGGGGGGGGGGGGGGGGGAGGGGGGGGGGGGGGGGGAGGGGGGGGGGGGGGGGGAGGGGGGGGGGGGGGGGGAGGGGGGGGGGGGGGGGGAGGGGGGGGGGGGGGGGGAGGGGGGGGGGGGGGGGGAGGGGGGGGGGGGGGGGGAGGGGGGGGGGGGGGGGGAGGGGGGGGGGGGGGGGGAGGGGGGGGGGGGGGGGGAGGGGGGGGGGGGGGGGGAGGGGGGGGGGGGGGGGGAGGGGGGGGGGGGGGGGGAGGGGGGGGGGGGGGGGGAGGGGGGGGGGGGGGGGGAGGGGGGGGGGGGGGGGGAGGGGGGGGGGGGGGGGGAGGGGGGGGGGGGGGGGGAGGGGGGGGGGGGGGGGGAGGGGGGGGGGGGGGGGGAGGGGGGGGGGGGGGGGGAGGGGGGGGGGGGGGGGGAGGGGGGGGGGGGGGGGGAGGGGGGGGGGGGGGGGGGGAGGAAGCAGCAGGCAGCCGGTCCTCCTGATCCTCAAATCTGCTCTAAATCACCAACATAACACTGTTCTGGTCCTGGTGCTCAGGGAGACCTGCCGAAGGTGACACAGTGTCTCGGGGACATCGATTAGGTCACGGACAACCCCAAAATCTCAGCGGCATCACACAACAGAAGCGTGGTTCCTGCTCACCCTGCAAATCCGGCAAGGGCTTCTCTGGGCTCATTACAGTCACTCAGGGACCCAGGCTCACAGAGGCTCCAGCTCACCGCACGTCTCCACCATCCAGAAGGTCAAGAAAGGAATATGATAATTTGAGGACCGGCTCTTAAAAGCAACCAGCCAAAGTGCCACAAGCCATTTCCGTCATGTCTTTTCCAACAAAGCAAGTCATAGTGCTACACCTGACTGCAGGGAGGAGGGCAGGGCTGGGACTACTTGGTGAAGGCCACTAAGGATTGCCTTGCCAGGTGGCAGCGAAGGACCGCCAACCCTCTTTATCCTTCTCCACAAGGAATGCCATGGACGGAACAGCTCAGGTGGTTTTATTTTATTTTTTTCCCTCCCCCTATTGATCTTCCTTTTTGGTTTATTTGCTACTGAAAATGAAACATCAGAGAGACTGATTCTGTCTAACCGGGCCTTGTCTTTATCAATGGCTTTGCAAGAGCAAAGGCTCAGAGCCGTTTTAAGGTCTGTGGGAACCTTGCTACATTTTTCACTCATTTAGCCCGGCTGCTTGAAGTCGCAATAGATTTCGGGTCGTCTTGGAAGTCAGCATTAGTGGAAAACTTCCATCTTCCCGATTGGGCCTGAATATTTAAGATTTTGAAAGCTTGGCTGGGACCAGATTTAATTTTAAAAGGGGAAGGGGGGCTTGCTTTTGAACTTCAAGAAGAAGGCTGGAGGCTCAGCAGGGGCCGCGTTAGCAAAGGGAAAAGCAAAAAGCCCTGTGGTCTTGAAAGAAATGCTCCAAAGTGGAAATGCTAAAGCCTCCAGTTGGTGAGTCTTAAATCAGACTTCAAAAGCAATGCTAGTTTAACTATTGTTTATGGAACTGAAGTATCGCTCCTTCTTCCTCTGGCTGGATTTTAAATATTCCCTAATTTGATTACTCGGGGGAGAGGCAGGCAGAACCAACTTAAATGAGCTTCACTGTTAATTATTCAGAGGGCTTTTTATTGTGTAATCAAACATAAAGTCTTACAAAAAGCTATGAGGCATATCCTCACCCTGCCCTCCCCAGCTTGACTCCCACCTGGGGCTCTGAGCGCCTTTCCCGTGTTGTGGCTGTGTGCTGGTTCGGCCGGATCCTACCCCAGTCCCCCACTTTGGGCTAGTTTAAGCCTTTGATTCTGCTACTCGGATCGGATGCCCTGAGAAGCCAGCCTGATGTCAGGCTCATCTTGATTCCCTTTTGCCTCGCGTATCTGAACTCCTCTCCCAACACCGGTACTCTGCAGCCCCTGAGGAGCCCTGACTCCTGTCAGTGTCTTCCCCGCATTAAAACTGGTCTGTCCATCTTCTTATTGCCACAACACACTGCTCCGTGGTAGGTGAGAGCCAGCCAAATGATGAAAAGGATCTCAACCATCTAAAATTCTTTCTCCAGAGAAAAGAGGAGATAAGGAAAGAGATGAATGGATGATGGGTAGATAGACAGAGAGATGGAGAGAGATTGATAGACCAACCGCTCAATCAACAGATACGCAAAGGTACTTAGATCACGCGCTGAGACTCCCCCCCTGCTCTGCAACAGAGGCCGCCTAGAGCCCTAAGTTCGAAGTTCAAAAGGCTGAGAACTGTTTCACCATAACTCATCCTGCAGCAAAATCCAACAGGGACCAAACTGATTTGGTGGCAAAATTTCACATGAAACAGTTCATAGTAATTTTTTTTAATCCCACCTAGTATAAATATCCATATGTTTCATTGCAGAAATATCAATTGCATTTGATTATAGGATGCTTCCCTCAGACCTAATCAGAGGGATTATGTTCAACTATGATATGGGCAGCACCTATCCTTCCCCAAATGCCAACCTTGGGAATTCGGCCACATTTAGTCCCACAAGGTTCAGATAATAGGTTATGAGCCTGTTACCAATAGACCCTGCTGGGGCTTCAGTCTCCTATCCAGAAGGCCCCCAACTCAGAAAGGCAGGATCTAGGTTTTGTAGGGCCTGGAGTTTATTTCACTGGGGAAATGTCCCTTTAAGAACAAGAATGCAGGGACCAGCAGATGGCATAATGGTTATGTCGCTGGACTCCCACATGGCTGGCTATGGTTCAAGTCCCAGGCCCAGTGGCTTGAAACTCATGCTGAGCATGTGTGCATGCATGCACCAAATCCCAAGAGCAGAGAAGGGACTGTTGTGTGGCAATCCTCCCTGGGGGGTATTTCTCGCTTTCTGTCTGTCTCTCTGGTGAGCACATGCACCTTATAGCAAAAATCTCTCTCTCAGAAAAAAAAAAAAAAAAAAAAAGGAATACAAAATTAGGTACAAGGCCCTGCAGGAGGGCCCATGTAAGTGAGGAGCCCTGCAGCATCAGTGTCATTCGTTTTGTTGCAAATCTGCATGAGTAAGTGACTTAAGAGCCTGGAATTTGTTTTCTCGTCTGTGAAATGGGGTGATGATGACTATGTCACAAGGTTATAGCAATTGAAATGATTCAGTGAGAAGGTGCAGAAGCATCTTGCACATCATATTGTAGAGAACTTCTGCTCAGCTAACCTCAAAACAACGATTTTTTTCACTGTGCAAACCATCTCATCCACTCCCTCCAACCCCACCTACTAATATTCTCATTGTGGTATGCAGTAGTGTTCCTAATGGTGGGGCCCTTAGGCAACAGAACATGCAGAGATTAAGACCTGAACACACCTTTCACTTCACCCTCAGGAGTAATGGGAACCCTGCCCTAGAGTCTGTAAAAAGACTTAAGGCCAAAATGCCCACAGATGCAGAATGCAAAGAGATGCAGTCCACCTTCCTCTGCTCCAGAGTAATAAACAGTGGTCTCTCGATCCTCGATTGTCACTCCAAAGATCTGGCTATGGAGAACTGTCCCTCACACTGCCTTTCCAGTATAGGAAGGACAGGAAGGAAGAGGGACCTTGCATCAGAACCCAGCCACTACTCATCCTCCATGTATTGCGTTTAAGGAACTTGTAATAAACCGAGGTCCTGGAAACAGAGAACTCATTAAGCTGTTTCTCACTCAGGGACCCCGGCGGAAGCAAGAGCACAATAAAAAAACTCAATAAGGACAAGTCCATGGGACAGAGGTGGGAGCACTTCGTCAGCGCGCCCAAGGTAATCGCCGCACACAGGGCTGCTGCATGGCCACCAGGCCGGACTGTGCTGGAGAGCATTGGGGCCCAGCCTTTTCTCTTTTGCCAGTCTTCTTTTTTGTTTTTTTTTCCTAGTGAGTTCTCGGAATGAAGCCCGCATGCCGTTGGGTGGTTTTTACACATTTTAATTAAAATAGTTATCTGGGGATTATAGGAGAGATGACATCTGGCCGGACGCTACTTGATGGGGAAGGGACGGGGGTGTGAGCAGCTGCTTAATAAGATGTCACCAGAAGGAAATGGACTCACCTCACTCTTTCTTTTAAATCAATAACAGTCATTTCTCTCTCTCAATCTCAATCTCTCTCTCTCTCTCTCTGTTAGTCAGAAAATGAGTGAATCCACAGACAGGATTTTCTACAAACTAGAATGTGTGTTTACTATTAAGAGGATTTCAAGAGATCTATTCTTTTCGATCCAAAGCTATTTCAAACCCAGAAACACCCGAATGCATCTACTCAACAAACAAGCACCATAATGAAACTATGGCAAGTGGTGATTTGATAAAGATATATGTGTGTGTGTGTGTGTGTGTGCATCTTTTTTTTCTTTTTCTGCTATAGGGTGAATGCACTTGCCAGAGACAGAGAGACAAAGAGAGAGAGAGAGAAAGTGAGAAATTATCCACCCAGGGAGATGGCCACACCTCAATCCCGTCTCCTCCATCCTCCTCTTGGGATCTTATGCACACACACACACGTTTGGTGTATTTTCTAAGCTACCAGGTTCGGGACTTGAACCACTCAGTCAACCATGTGTGATCCAGCTGCTTTAACCACCGTACCACTGGCTGGCCCACCAAGTGGTAATATTTTAACAGGTAAAGATAGATGAACAAGTGCACAACTACACAACCCATCCCTTAACCACAAAAGGGACACAGTCTAAGGCTCATCTCTGCCTACCTCACAACATCTGTGAAGAACCCGGAAAACCATATGGAAGGTCACTCCAAATGTATGAAGATGTCGAGCATCATTGTGGTTATGTCAGTTTCATGGGTCCCTTTTAAATATTATTGCAATGGGCCAGATTCTGTGCTAAGGAAGTTCTTTGGGTAAGTGATCCATTTCTGCCTTCTGAATAACCCTGTAAGGCACCGTTTTTATCCCCTGGTGGGAGAAGAGGAAGTTGGAGCTCAGAGAGGTTAAGTGACTTACATGAGGTAACACAGCTAAGTGATGGCAGAGTCAGATATTAATCTTATGTCTGTTTGTGAAACTGACTCTGTTAATTAAACCAGACTCTTTGAATGCATATTCTCCATCATGTGATTATACTGTCCCCCACTGGAAGAGTTTCATCATTTTCTCGCTCTTTCATCGGGATGCTCCTAGACCTGAGAAGTGGGAGCCTTTGTTTTGATCACAGAAAGTTGCTATGGAGATACTGCATGCATCCGTCTCCAGAGATGAACAGAAAAAGCAGCAGGAGGCAGAAACCTTACAAAATGTCCTTCAGGAATATTCATGACTAAAGCTAGGAGAGGGGAAAGTGAATCACTGGACGCGAACTTTCACAAGACTGAATTCTCCAGCAAGTCTGCAGGTCAGACCCTGAGCTGCAGCATTGCCCACTCTGGGGGTGGAGAGAAGAATGAAATTAGGACTCAGGACCTGGTTTGGTCACTGTGTGACCTTGGACAAGTCCTCTCTCTCCCGATGTCAAGTTTCTCCACCTATAAAACGAGGATTTTGAAAGAGAGACTCCTACCAATTTCTGTAGCCTCTGACACATTTTTGCATGTGCAGTGCGTATCAATGCCAAATCAGCCTTTAAGGATCAGGCACACTGTGCTTAGGAAAAAAGTCAGGCTGAGTGGAGAACGGCAGGGAGTGGTGGGGTCTGTGGCAAGCTCCAACACTCTTGCTCAGCGGAGAGGAAGAACCTCTTCTTAGCTCTAATTCATTTCACCATGTGAGAATAGGAGCTCAAGGCTTATCATTTTCAAGAGAAACCAAACATTTAGATTTCTAGATCAAAATCTCCCAATTCGTAAAATCCTTGGCCACTAACCATGTCTCCCTGTGGGTCAACAATTCACAAACCCTGCTTCTTAGAAAGTATAAGGAACCATTGGGAACCAGCAGTTAGCGTAATGGCTATGTCACTGGACTCCCACGTAGTCGACTGCGGTTCGTGTCCCGGACCCGGTGGCTTAAAACTCACGCCGGGCGCATGTGCGTGCGTGCCCAAGATCCCGAGAGGAGAATGGAGGAGAAGGGAGTGCGGCGTGACCATCCCCCCTGGGGGGTGATTTCTCGCTTTCTGTCCCTCTGTCTCTCTCTGTCTGGCGAGCGCACGCGCCCTACCGTGAAAATCTCTCAAAAAAAAAAAAAAGAAAAGAAAGAAAGTATAAGGAACCGTTCAGGAACATCTTTTCCTCTGTTGCCAAAAATCAGTCCCCGCTGAGGTGGAACACAGCAGCTGGTTAACACAACTCCTGAGTAAAATATAAACAATGGAGAAGAAGCATTTGGGGATTTCAGTCGATTCAGAGTCAGTTCAATAAAGGGCACGCAAGATACCGAAAGTGCCTGTCACATCTTCCGCCAGCATTTTACTTTTCTGCCACTCTCAATTAATCCGAAGTGTCAGCCCTTCACTTTGGATTTCCTGGCTGGGATGGTTAATTGAATTTTAATTAATGGCAACTTTGAGAGTGCAAGATGAAATCTTAACTCAAGAAAGATGCACTCAGACCTCAGGATGTAGAATGTCTGAGATCATCCCACCCGGTCCATCCCCTTTGTAAATGAGGACACTGAAGAAGAGCCATGTGACTTGTTCAAGTCCCCACAGAGGGCCTCCCACTAAGTCCAGGGCTCATACAAGACTCCGGGCTGCCCCCGTGACACAAACTGTCCAGCCTTAGAATGACATTGGTCTGAAGAGCACAGTTTCCAGAATCAGAAATTCACAGCGTGCCAGATGATACAGGAAGAGGCAGGGCGTTCTATCTCTGGGCTGACACCTTTCCCAGGGTAGGGAGAAAGGGGCTTTCTGATGGTCTGGCAAGCTCTTCACCAGTTGCAGTGTCTGGACAAAGGTGCATTGTTCCTAATTTAGCAAAAGAGCAAACATGCCACCTTTTGCTGTTTTCTTTTCTTTTTTAATTAATTAATTTATTCCATAAGAAAGAGAGAGAGAGAGGCAGAAGTGGGCAGCCCTCATAGGGTCTTCATGCCACCACACTCCTCCCCTCCCCAGTGCACACGTGCACCCAGCCTGTGCAGGGAGACCTCAGGCTGCAAACCCAGGACCTTCCCATATCATCAGCATGCCAGACATTGCATCGCGGCTGTGCCACCACGTCTGGCCACGCTTTTGATCACAGTCATTTTATAACCCACATGTTCCCTTGAAGATCTGAGTAAATCCAGCTCAAATTCCAATTCCCCAGTCTGTCACATTCTAAAGTATTGTGTCATCTGTGCAGAATTTCGCTCAAGATTGGGGGGCGGAGGGAGGCAGTCACAAGATGTAGTTCCCTCTGACATCTTAATCTCCACAGACCTCCCCACCCGTTCTGCCTCCTTCCCCCACTTTCTCCTTCCCCTGTGCAACCAAGAAATCCCTCCCCTCTTCTAGCGCAGGGAAGTTCTGCCCATATTCAGGGCCCCACATGGTAGCCAATCAAAATACTGCTTCTGGGACCAGCAGTTAGCGTAATGGCTATGTCGCTGGATTCCCATGGAATCAACCATGGTGCGAGTCCCCGATCTGGTGGCTTAAACTCACGCCAGGCGTGTGTGCGTGCGTGCCCAAGATCCCAAGAGGAGAATGGAGGAGAAGGGCTTGTGGTGTGGCCATCCCCTCTGGGGGGGGGGGTGATTTCTCACTTTCTGTCTCTCTGTCTCTCTCTGTCATTCTGGCAAGTGCATGCACTCTATAGCAAAAACTTCTACAAAAAAAAAAAAAATGCTGCCTCTGATTACATGCATGGACTCCCTGAAATGAACCCTGCTGGATCGGATCTCTGCCCACCCCCATTTGACACGTATTAATTGGGATGACTGTCAATGCTGTTGCGTCTCTCTTTCTCCTTTCCAAGATACTGAACAAACACTAGGAGTTTCACCTAACCAAGACAGCAGTCTGCCCCCAAGAGCTTTCATTCCAAATCTTCTCAAACAAAAATTGTTTCTGTTCATTGAGTGTAAACTATAGCCCTGCATGTATTAAACTCCTTCTCTGGGGCCACTGAGAGCCTAGTTTGCCCCACTGTAAACATGGCTTTTCTTTTTTCTTCTCTTTTTTTTTTTTTTTAAGAGGGTATGTGTATTTGCCAAAGAGAGACAGAGAGAGACAAGAAGAGACCATCCCCCAGTGGGTCAGAGATCATGCTGCAATCCCCTCTCCATTTCTCCACGCTGTTGGATTTGGGGCATGCGTGCACATGTGCCCTGTGTGTTTCTCAAGCTACCAGGACTGAATTTGAACCACATGACTGGCCATATGAGATCCAGCTGCCTTAACCACTGTACTACAAGGCTGGCCTGATCTCGCATTTTAAATGCTGTAAGGAATAAAAAAGGATCTCGTAAAAGTTGAGGGTTGAAGAATGACTGCTAGAGGCAGGGAGGGATGGGGGAAGGGATAGAGTGATATGATTAATGGAAACATTATAGATATATAAGAGGAATAGATAGATAAGAGGATGTATAGATAGATAAGAGGAACAGCTTCCCCCTCCCTTTTAAAAGTAATTTATTTCCTTCATGAAAAAGAGAGACAGAGAGAGAGAAAGAGACTAGTGCATCCGATAGGGTTCCCATGCAGTGATCGACCCCTAGTCTCAGCTGGTTCCGATGAAGGGCACACATGCACCCAAACACCTCCACCATGCCTAGGAAGGTCTCAGGATGTGAATCCAGGACCTTTTCCATGGGGTCCAGCTTCACCATTGCCTAGCCCCAAAAAAGAACAAGTTCTAATATGATAAGATACAGTGGGGAGAATACAGTTAACAGCAATTCACTGTATATCTCAGAGTAACTAAAGAAGATTTTGAATGCTCCCAGCACAAAATAATAACGAATGGTTGCAATGATGGATATACTTGTTACCTTGATTTAATCATTACACATTGTATTCTTGTACTGGAAAAAATCACATTGTATCCCACAAATGTGTATAGCTTTTATACGCCAATTAAAAAAAGAATCACTGGGCATAGCATTTTCAATGCCATTGACAAAGGCTTTTAAGGTTTTGTTTTTTTGTTTTTTGGGTTTTTTTTAATAAGGCATAGTGATTAGCATTGGGGTTAGCCTGACCTGGTCACACACACACACATGCACACACACACACACACACACACACACACACAATTAGTTCCCTCTGACTTCTTTCTTTCCAACAATCCACCTTAATTCCCTCATGGACTTGCCTTATACACCCCTTAGTCCCTTCAAGGACTGTCATCCAGTCTTTCTCACGCATCATAACCATGCCACTCCATCAGACAACTCTGCTTCCCTCTACTCTACCTCTTAAATGTCGGGCCTAGAACTTTCTCCATCATGTGTTCTTTCTTCCTCTTTCAGATTTCTTTCTTTCTTTAGTGAGAGAGACAGAAAGACAGAGACCTTACAGGGTCCTCCCACCACGATCTGCCCCTAGCCTCAGCCAGCCTGGGTCACGGTGTGCACATGTGCACGCAGCTGCTCAGGGAGGGGCTCTGGGACTTGAGGACCTCTCCCAGAGGTGTCCAGTTGCATTACCACTGTCCCACTTCCAGGCCTGTATCTCGTGTTCTTTAGAAAACTCTAGTGAAGGGCTTAATCCCATAGCCTGGTGGTTAAGGGAGCAGGGTACTGCATGGCTGACCACTATTTGAGTCTCAGCCCCTGTGGCTTGAAAGACACACCACATGTGCGTGCATGCCCCAAATCTCAACAGGATGGAGAAATGGAGGAGAAGGGATTGTGGTGGGACCATGCCCCATAAGGGAGGGCTTCCTCCCTCTCCCTCTGTCTCTTCGTCTCTGGCAAGTGCACATACCCTCTGGCAACTGAAAAAGGAAAAGAACAACAGAAAATAAAACCTCAAGGAGTGCACATTCTTTGAGGCTCTGGAATCAGCTTGGTGAACAAGAAGTTGATACATGCAATTTGGATTCAAAACCAAGATGTCATTGGAAAAATGTTGACCCATCCTCTCCCACAGTTCAAGAACCCACTGTAATAGTTACTTCAAAAGAAAGGTCAAAACCGCTCTAGGCTTTGGCACCTGCACCAGAATACACGCTTGGCTTCCTGTGGTGACTACTTGGGAAACTGCATTTGTTCAGTAGACTATGTTCTGTCACTTTTGTTTCAAATAATGCACTATTTAAAAAAATAAAAATAAAATAAAAACAACCTTGCCAGAGGGTTTGTGTTCTCTCCAAAGAGGCAGAGAGTGGGAGAGGAGAAAGCACCCTCTGTGGGGGATGGTAAAGTGCAATCCCTTCTCCTCCGTGTCTCCCTCCACCCAGGATCTGGGGCATGCACTTACAGTGCCCAGCAAGCCACCAGGTCCAGAACTTGAACCACGCAGCTGGCCCTGTGGGATCCTGCCACCTCAACCACCACGCCGTGAGCTGGCCCTACAGTTTTCCAAATCACCTTGATTTGTGAGGACGGGCCACTCCAGACCCAAGACTCGTTTAATGGTGAGCAGAAAGAGCCAGAATGAAAGAACCAGTCAGGGCTGGGTTTTGTTTTTTTTTTCTTTCAGATCCTCCCTTCCTTTCCTCCTATTTTCCTCTCCTCCTTTCTCCCCTCTTTCTCTCCATCCTCCCTCCTCCCTCTCCCTCTCCCTTCCTCCTTTCTGAAATCCCTTTCTTCTCTTTCCTTCAGACCAAGAAATTCAAAATCCCTGCCCTGCGAGCCACCAGCCGCAAACCCAGTCGGCGAGGCTCCACACTCAGCCTCTCTCGGACCAGTGGGGGCTCGTCCCCCCAGAGCAGCATGGTCTCCATGAACCCCGGCTCAGATGAGCCCCAGAGTGTGACCGTCCAGGTGGTCCTCAACAGGGAGATTGAGGACAACGAGTCGTCTTCAACCAAACCAGATGAAGAACCTCTCCACATCAGTAAGTCCCACCTGAGGTCTGACCAATCTACCCGGACTCTTTGCCTTTACGCCAAACGCCAAGAACTTCTGCCCTCGCTCAATCACTCAGTTAGAGGAGACTTAGGGGTCCCCTAGCCCTGCTCGATTTTCTTGGAGCCCGTTGCTTTCCCTCAGCAGAGATGAGAGTACTCTATCACTTGGGTTACACAGAACCATTTGTCCTAGGGAGACAGCCCATGGTCAAACTGCCCTTTTTTAACTTTAACAATATTTTTTTATTGGGGCAGCAGGTGGTGTGGTAGTTAAGGTGCGGGATTCCCACATGGCTGACCATGGTTTGAGTCTTGGACCTGGTGGCTTACTTTCTCACTTTTCTTTTTTTTTTTTTCCTCTCTCTGGTCAAATTAAAAAATAAGTAATAATAGCAAGTAAAATAAATAACTCTTTTAAAAATGATAATAATTTTTTATTGGTTCAGCAAGTGATGTGGAGGTTAAAGCACTGACCCCCACATGGCCAACTGCATGGTTCAAGTCTCAAACCTGGCAAAAATCCTGAGAGGAGGATAGAGAAAGGAGTGTGGCATGACCATCCCCCCGAGGAGGTGATTTCTCACTTTCTGTCTTTCACTGTTTCTCTCTGGCAAGTACATGTTTTGCCCTGTGGCAAAAACAAAACAAATAACAATTTTACTAACCCCCATACAGAACAAAATCATCTCAATGTGTACCGCAATATAAAATTTATTTGTAAGCTTATTTCTTTCTTCCATAAGCAAGGCAGACAGAGACAGAGACAGAGCATCCCCCAACAGGGGCCCTCATCTGTAATCCACCCCGACTTTTGGCCGGCCCTGGACCACGAGCATGTGTGTGTGCACATGCTCAGAGAGGTCTTCGGACACGACTGGAACTTTCCCATGTGGATCGGCTCTACAGAGAGCTGCATGACTGCTGGGCCACGCCCCACCCCTCAATATACACACTGACTTCATTGGCTTCTTTTCTCTGCTAGAGGGTGCACGCACTGCCAAGCAGAGGCAGAGAGACAGAGGGAGAGAGGAAGGGAGAGAGTACCTGCCACGGGAAGCAGTCATGCCACAATCCCTTCTTCTCTGGGTCTCTTTTCTTTGGGGATTTTGGGCACCCACGCACACACATCCGATGTGTTTCTCAGGCTGCCAGGTCCAGGGCTCAAACCATGTAGTCGGCCATGTGGGATCCAGCTGCCTTAACCACCAGGCCACAGAGCAAACTTACAAAGAGATATTTTAGATTCTTTTTGTCATACTAAGTTTTTGAAATCCAGTGTCTCCTTTTTTAAAACAGCTCCATCGAAGTATAATTTACATAGCAGAAAATTCATTCGTTTTAAATGTACAAGTCAATGATCTTTAGTAAATTTACGGAGTTGTGCCACCGTCACCACAAACTAATTTTAGAACATTTCTGTCAACCTGAAAGAACACCTCGGGCCCAGTTTCTCTCCTTTCCACCCAGATCCCCCAGGCAATCACAAACCTACTTGCTGTCTCTCTGGATTTGTCTTTTCTGAACATTTTATATACGGAAATTGTATTGCTCTGCCATCTCCACCCTGGAACAAGCCTTTTCAGGTCAAAATTGGGGGGACGCAGCTCCTATGAAAAATGTATTGGAAGCTATAGGCCCTGCTCAAGAAAAAAAATTCACGTTTCTACCATTTCATATACTGTGTAGGGCTGGGGAGGTTGTGAACCTTAGCCAGATAGCACAGTGACTGGGGTCCATGTCATCTAAAAAATTTGTTCTGGCCAGCAGATGGCACAGCGGTTACATCACTGGACTCCCACATGGCTAACCGCGGTTCAAGTCCCAGACTCAGTGCCTTGAAAATCACGCCGGGCGTGGGTGTGTGCGTGCCCAAGACCCTGGGAGGAGAATGGAGAAGGGATTGTGGTGCGGCTTCCCCCTGGGGGGGTGATTTCTCTCTCTCCCTCTCACTGTCTCTGTCTCTCTCTCTGGTAAGTGCACATGCCCCAAGGAAAAAATCTCTAAAAAAAATTCGTTCTCATGATTTTCCACCTCGAGTTTATAGAGTAAAGAGAGATAGAAAAGGAAGGGAAGGATCCATATGGAAATATGAAGACAGTAGAAAAAAGAGAGAGAGAGACAGCGACATGCAGAGGACTGGCCCACTGAGAACTTAGTGACTCTGGGACACGGGACGTCTCCCTGGCACGTCCCCAGACACTGTGTCCTGCATCTAAGCTGAGGCCTGCCTGCTCGGCCAGTGTCTCTTCACACCACCTGGAGGGCCCATGGCAACCAAGGCTGGGCTGCAATGAGGTGACAAGGACTGGGCGGAAGGTGGATTCAGAGAGGTCGAAAGCGAGGGCAAGGCAGAACAAGAGTCTGCGTGGGGCCCTGATGGTCAAGCTGGAGGCAGGCTAAGTGCAGAAGCCCAGCAGGTGGTCAGGACACAGAGGAATGACTGTTGGCAAGCAAAAGCCCCACTGCCCCTGGCTGTCACTGGGGGACTGAGAAAGCCCCAAGCCCCAACAAGCTATTTTCTGAACTAAAATGGAGCCACCGCTCCAGGCACTTGGGAAACCACAGATCTTACCCAGGAATCAGATATAGCGGAGAACTAAGGTAAGCCATCAGCAGATAAGTGACTTGTGGATTTCTCGAGCCATCTTTCACTCAACATGTAGTTATTGATTGACTGATTGATTGATTTTTGGAGAGATTTTTGTCATAGGGTGCATGTGCTCACCAGAAAGATAGAGAGAGAAATCACCCCCCGGGAGGATGGCCAGGCCACAATCCTTTCTTTATTCTCCTCTCAGGATTTTGGGCATGCACACACACATGCCCGGCGTGAATTTTAAGCTGCCGGATCTGGGACTCAAACCGTGGTCGACTATGTGGGAATCCAGCGATGTAACCATCATGTCATCTGCTGGTCCCTAACATGTATTTATTATGCACCTCCTGTGTGCTTGGAACTGTGGTACAGAGCGTGCCCTCTCCACGCTTACATTGTATAAGGAAGAGGCAGGTGATAAACCAGACGATCGTGCTCTGAAAATGGTAAAATTGGGGGAGGGGGCTGAACAGAGCCCCCTCAGTGGGGCCCACTGAGCCGAGATGGCCAAAGCAAGCCTCTCTCAGCTCATATTGAGGTGAGACCTGAAGATAAAAGCTGGGGAGAGAGAGGCAGGGGCCAGGGGTGCAGGGCCATTGCAGGGCAAGTACGAACTCCATGCCTGTCTAACATACAGGAAGTCTCTAGCAGGTTTTCTATGCAGGAGGAACAAGGCCTGGCTTACTTTCCCCAGGTGCGTGTGTGGTTATTGATGCGATATCCAGGCCTCTGGAGCTTTTGACTCCAGAAACCTTGCTCCTAAACAAGAAGAGCAGAGAAGTGCCCCCGCGTCAAGACACCGACATGGTCCCAGAACTTGTATATGGTTCTCCTGGGTCACCCTGGGTGCTGGAGGCAGGAAGGGATAGAGGAGGGAGACTTTGCAAAGGGGAAGGGGGTGATCACAGACCCCTACCCAATAGCCAGCTTCCTCCCACATCTGACCAACTGCCTGTTTCCATCAGCACTGTCGCCTAAAGCTCATAACCCTACTGTCCTCACTCCTATTGCTCTTCTCTTCGTTTAGAGAGAGAAGACGAGGCGCACAGAGATCTTGCTACTTATGTTTTGCTTAGCATAAAACAGTTTTGTTTAAAAAAAGGAAAAGTTGGGAACCAGCAGTTAGCGTAATGGCTATGTCGCTGGACTCCCATGTAGTCGACTGCGGTTCGCGTCTCGGACCCGGTGGCTTAAAATTCACACCAGACGCGTGTGCATGCGTGCCCAAGATCCCAAGAGGAGAATGGAGGAGAAGGGATTGCGGCATGACCACCCCCCTGGGGGGTGATTTCTCGCTTTCTGTCTCTCTATCTTTCTCTGTCTGTCTGGCGAGCGCACGCGCCCTATAGCGAAAACCTCTCCAAAAAAAAAAAAAGGAAAAGTAGGAGTTGCTTTTTAAAAAATAATTATTTATCTAATTGTATTTATTATTATTACTATATTTTTTAGAGAGTTTTATATTTTCCTTTTTAAGTAGACCAGAGACAGAGAGAGAGAGAGGGAAAGTGGGAAAGCAAGCCTCCAGGTCCAGGACTCAAGCCATGGATGGCCATGTGGGAATCCAGTGCTTCAACTACCATGCTACCTGCCAGACCCTTGAGAGAGGTTTTTGCTATAGGGTGCGTGTGCTCACCAAAGAGACAGAGAGAGACAGAGAGACATAAAGCGAGAAATCACCTCCGGGGGGGATGGCCACGCCACAATTTCTTCTCTTCCATTCTCCTCTAGGAGTACTGGGCATACCCACACACAATACTCACGCACCCAGCGTATCAATAGTATTTTTTATTTGCTGTAGGGCATGTGTGTTCACCAGAGAGAGAGAGAGAGAAGCCATAGGTCCAGGAACTGAACCATGGTTGGCCATGTGAAAGTCCAGTGCGTTAATGCCAAACCACCTGCTGGCCCCAGTAGGGGTGAATTTTTAACATTAAGAGATTTTATATAAAAATTCTGATTTGTGAAAATAAGTCAGTCTTTATGGCATGCAGGCCTGCCACTGTGCATGACAATAAGCTAGAGCTTGCCCCCCTCCCTTTTTTTTAAAGAGAGATTTTTGCTATAGGGCGTGTGCACTCACCAGAGAGGCAGGGAGAGACAGAGAGACAGAAAGTAAGAAATCACCCTCTGGGGGGATGGCCACGCCACAATCCCTTCTTCTCTATTCTCCTCCCGGGATCTTGTGCAGCACACACATGTGCCCAGCATGAATTCCAGCCGCCTGGTTCAGGACTTGAATCATGGTACACTACGTGGGAGTCCAGTGACATAACCATTACACCATCTGCTGTTCCCTAGAGCTTGCCCTTTTTGAATGGAGCAGGTACTCTAGTTTTCTGCAGTCCCCACCACTCCCTGTTACCCCCCAATCATTGCTCCCAATTGGCCACG